CCCCCCCCCCCCCGCTGGATAAACCACTGATTTTACGGGGAAAAAAATCTTTGTTTTCTTTAGTTTTGATGAAATGCAAAAGAATTTAAAATTATTAAATGAGCGTTTATGTCAAAAAATTCAAGAATTTCATGATAGTCGTCAAGCTGATCTTACTCGTTGTGTTGCTCGTCTTCATACGGAATTACAATCCATTGATAAATTTGTTGGAGATTCAAAACATTTACTTATTGATGTTAATGTTCAGGTAAATATGTTAAGATAAACAAAGAATTATATTCATACTTTATTAGACTGAAGTATTATTACGTCTTAAACAACAATTTCAAGAACCACGAAAACGATTACCTATTCTTTGTAAGTAATTATTATAATTAAATGAAGAATGAAATAATAATTTCTTAGCTCGTGATTTAATTGAATCAACTCCATCTATTCAATTTGTATCATCATCATTTCAAATGTTAAATGAAGAATTAGCTGGTACACTTGTTCTTGATAAACCTATTCATGGAAATTTAACTACAACTGGACCATCAGCTAGTGGTGATCATGATAGTCGATTATCTGCATTAGCATCAGGTTCATCTTATCTTTCGATAATTCATATCTTATTTTAAATACTAAGATAGGTTCTCGAACAGGTAAAATGGAAATTATTGGACAAGAAGGTAGTGGAAAATTAGAATTTAAATCACCAGCTGGTCTAACAATCAATGGTGATGGACATTTAGTAATCGCTGAAATTGATAATAATCGTTTACAAATTCTAACAAGAGAATTTACACATATTCGAACTATAATTGGTTTTCGTGAACCACATGATGTTTATTTTACTAAAGATAAACGTTATTTAATAACTGATAATCATAAATTAATTATCTTAGATGAAGAATTTCATAAAGTTGAAGTTATTGGTTCAAATAAATCTGGCAAAGGACGAAGTTTGTTAAATTTAAAACTCATTAAAATATTTAATTTTCTTTCATAATTCTTAGATATGTTTAATAATCCAACTGGTATAGCTATTGATAATGATGATGATGAAATTATAGTATGTGATACAAATAATGATCGTTTAATAATTATATCTCGAGATTATAAATGGATACGAGAGATTCATACTGGTATTGAAACATCACCACGCTATGTTTGTATACGACAAAATATTTTATATGTAACAAGTGGTACCAAAGGTTGTGTTTTAACATTTAATAAACATACAGATCAACAAATGAATACAATACCTGAATTAACATTAGGTTTAACAATTGATGCACCACGATCTATTCGATATGTACGAGATCTTTTATTTGTAACATCAAGTTTATCAAAAAGTATTTTTGTATTTACAATTGATGGAGAATATCGAGGTGAATTAAGACATGAATTATTTGCAAAACCAATTGGTATTCTTTTTATTGATGATAGTCTTTATGTGACTGATAGTGATAAACATGCACTATTTCATTTTAGTGGTGTTCTTCAATAATTTATATAAAACTAAACAAAAAAACCTAAGAGAAAATCTTTTATATATTTTGTTTCTATTTAATAAGAAAATAATTATCGAATATAATTTAATGATTTTCAATAGAAAATAATAAAAACAAGACAGCTGTATACATATTACTCATTTTATGTTGGTATTTTCCATGTTCTGTTCTCTTTCTCAAAAAACGTTTCTCATATATTTATTAATATATTCTGTGACACACATACATTTATAAAATAATTAATTTATTATTACTTTACAATCACATATTAGTTACGGTAAGTTTTTTTCTCTATAGTTTATTTACTAATTTTTCATATTGAGATTTATTGTTTATTAAATTTTGTTTTTCCACGTTTGAGTTAGTGTGAAAAATAGCAAAAGATATTTACTAGTCTAACAGATCTTTTTATACAGATCTATACTCTCATGAATAGATCAGAGATGTCCATAACGACGCGATAACGGTTAAGTTTTTGAAATTTTGTTTTTATTTTCATCGAAAAAACCTATAATGTCTGAGAATATAGTTTTACTATGATTCAGATTAGAAAATCCCTTCTTCTTTCAGTACATTTGTATGATTATTGCATCATCCAATCAATATAAAAGGAAGTTTTATAGACTATATTATTCATAGTATCGCGGTACGAAGTTTTAAAAACGTTCGCGTCACGATAAAAGTTTTCACGAAACCTCAGCAGTTGATTTCCAACCGCGATGGACATCTCTGGAATAGATGTCGTTTATAACCATGTATAGATATTTTGTAAATCTATACAGTTTATCATTTCCTGTACGTATCTCACAGTATTTCATCTTTACATTTCTTCAAACGATTTTTTTAACTAATAAAAACTGTGATAAAATCGCATTGCTTATTTATCAAATAAACCATTGTAATGTTTTTTGTATTTGTATATACAACTAAATTTCAATATTTTTACAAATGTACATTTATTAACCTCGTAGTATTACAGATAAATTAAATAAGGAAAAGGTTTCTATATAATTGTCAAGTCGTTGTTTCCTTCTATAGAAGAAAATCGACGTACTCATTATTTTAATAATATATATTATTCGATAATCATATATGAATATTCATTAAATAAAAAATATCTATTCAGATTATTTATCGTAATATTTGAAAAAATGAATTGAATCTACAATGAGTAATCTATTTGATTCTATCAACTAGTAAAATAAATAAATAGTTATCAAGTCACATGATAATGTAATGTAAAATTTATTTCGTTCGTTTGTACGTCAAAAACATACCCATATTATTCGTCAGTTTCATCGTTTCGTTCTTTTTCTTTTACAAGCACACATGAATTCTTTATTTTTCTTTCTTTTTTTGTTCTATCATTCTCTTTTCAAACCTCCATATAATGCATTATTGTATGGCTGTTTGAAAATCATATGGTGAATATTATATTTAAGTAAATTATTTTAATCAAAAGTATATTGATGAAATTAATTTTTGATAAATTTTTAAAATATATTTCAACTAATTGCTTGTATGTTTTTTTTTT